CGCTTCCGGTCACATGTGGAGGTGCTGGCGGAAGTGAGTGCCAGGCGCCGGGCGGAAGGGGGGGCGGTGGCGGGACGGAGCGCGGGCCATGGAGGTGTGGGGGGTGACAGCGGGGCCGGAACGGGCCGGGAGGGTGGGCCTGGGGGTACCGGGGCCGAGGGGGAAACAGAGACCGGGAGGGAATGGGGCTGGGGGCGGCGAGCGTGTCTGTCCGCAGGATCCCGGCCCCGGTCCGGCCGCAGAGAGCCCAGTGGAGCTGAGCCCCCCGGGGCTTGAAGGTGATACCGGGAGTCACGTGAGGTCCTGGGGCATGGGGGGTCCCCGGCCCGGGAGCTGCCGCGTAGATTCGGGTGTCGCAGGGGCTGCGGAGGCCTAAGGAGGTCCCTGTTCTGGGGGGTGGGGAGTCGCAGGGTTTGGGCTGTCCCAGGGTTTTGGGGGGTCCCGAGGTTTGGGGTACCCCGGGGTTTCGGCTCTTTCACGGTTTGGGGGGCCCTGTGGCCCTGGGCTGGGTGTCCCGGGGTCTGAGGTGTCCCAGGTTTTGGGGTGCCCTGTGGCCCTGGGGTGAGCGTCCCAAGGTTTGGGGTGCCTCAGGATTTGAGGTCTCTACTGGCTGCTGGCGGGCGCCTCACACTGCATGTCCCCAGGGGAGCCCCACCGTGGTGCCTACACCACCTTCATGAAGTCCCACCGCTGCTACGACCTGATCCCCACCAGCTCCAAACTGGTCGTCTTCGACACTTCCCTGCAGGTGGGCCGGGGCCAGGGGGGGCAGCATTGGGACTGGGGGACACAGGACAGGGACCAGGCTGGAGTCTGGGGGCTTAACTGGGACCAGGAGGCAGGTTTGGGGCTGGGGGACAGTCTCAGGGCTGTTCACCCACCTCGTAAAGGTGTTATAAGTTGGGATGGAGGAACATGAACTGGCAGGGGTGTGCCGTCCGTCCCGTGACATCCCCCCTGTCTCTGGCCACAGGTGAAGAAAGCTTTCTTCGCGCTGGTCACCAACGGCGTGCGGGCTGCCCCGCTGTGGGACAGCAAGAAGCAAAGTTTTGTGGGTAAGCAAGCGAGACGGGGTGTCTGTGGGAGAGCAGTAGGGGGCTAATGGGACCCTGCTCACCCTACCCATCCCCCCAGGTATGCTGACCATCACCGACTTCATCAACATCCTGCACCGCTACTACAAGTCGCCCATGGTAAGGACCAAGCATCTGTGCAGAGCTTGTCCTCGCGAGGCCCCAGGGCCTGGCTTCTGCCTGCCCTGCACACAGCCACAGTTGATCACGATTTCTCTCTTGGTGTCCAGGTGCAGATCTATGAGCTGGAGGAGCACAAAATAGAGACATGGAGAGGTGAGAGGGATCGCTGCCGCCTGCTTCCCACCTTCCCAGACCTGCTTGGGGCGCCTGGAGCCCCACAGCTCTGCACCCCACCCGCCTGCCTGCGGCGTTGCCAGTCCCCTCAGCATCTCCTCTCCCTGCAGAGGTCTACCTACAAGACTCCTTCAAGCCACTGGTCTGCATCTCCCCCAACGCCAGGTACCCCCGTGCTGTGGGGAGAGGGGCATGGCTGGCTGCGGCACCGTTAGGTGCAAGGCCAGGGTCCAGGCGAGCTCCAGTTCCCCCTCTCCTTCCTGCCCTGCAGCCTCTTTGATGCTGTCTCCTCCCTGATCCGCAACAAGATCCACCGCTTGCCTGTCATCGACCCTGACTCGGGGAACACGCTCTACATCCTCACCCACAAACGCATCCTTAAGTTCCTCAAACTCTTTGTAAGTCCTGTCCCTGCCCCACAGCGGTGGCAAGGGTTGCCCTAAGATGAGCTTGGCCCAGGCTGTGCCAGGCTCTGGGGCACTGGGGTGGGCACAGCTTCAATGCCTCACAGCATGTTGTGGATGCTGGGGGGGGGCCTTGGGACACTGCATGGGTGTCACAGTCCATCTCTGCTGCCTCTGCCTGTGCCACCTCTGCCCGGGGGTCCCCCAGACCCCGCTCCGCACCCAGTGCTCTCTGCTTTCACTCCTGGGACCGCAGCCCAGGCCCCGGGGTGGCCAGAGCTGGCAGCACCACAGGGCCTGGGGCGTGGCAGGCCAAGCCAGCATCAGCACTGTCCCCCTCCCCGTCCCCTTCAGATAGCGGAGGTCCCAAAGCCCGAGTTCATGGCCAAGACACTGGAGGAGCTGCAGATTGGCACCTACAACAACATTGCCATGGTGCGGACCAGCACCCCCATCTACGTGGCGCTGGGCATCTTTGTGCAGCACCGCGTGTCCGCTCTGCCGGTCGTCGATGATTCAGGTAAGGATGGCGCCCGGTGCGGGGTACGGCGTGTGCCAACTGTCCCCAAACCACCAAGTCAGGGTCCACATCCCCTCTGGTATGCCAGGAACCGGTCGTACAGAAACATAGCACCGCCAGCACCTCTCATAGCCCTTTCTCTCCTTCCCTAGGGCGGGTAGTGGATATCTACTCCAAATTTGACGTTATTGTGAGTACTCGGGGGGCCGTGGAGGTGGGGAGAGGTGCAGAGCCTGAAGCGGAGAGGGTTGTGAGGTGGTAGGGCTACACAGGTAGGTGGCCTGTCCCCCCGACACCTCTCCCTGCCCCAGAACCTGGCAGCAGAGAAGACCTACAACAACCTGGATGTGACGGTGACGAGGGCGCTGCAGCACCGCTCCCACTACTTCGAGGGCGTCCTCAAGTGTTACAAGCACGAGACGCTGGAAACCATCATCAACCGCTTGGTAGAGGCTGAGGTAACCATTCCCCAGGGCACTGGTGATGGGGAGGGGGGGCCAGGGTCCCTGAACCAGCCTCAGACCCTCCCTATCTCCCCCCAGGTTCACCGGCTGGTAGTGGTGGATGAGAGCGACGTGGTCAAGGGGATCGTCTCTCTCTCGGACATCCTGCAAGCCCTGGTCCTCCCACAGGGCCCCTGAGGCAGGGGCAGGGGGGATTCAGCCCCTCCTGGTGGCTCCCCTCTCCTCTTCTGCCACACTGTCCACCCTGGGGCTGGCGGGGACACCCAGGGCAGGGGCCCCACTCACCAGCAGTGTCCAGCAATAACCTCCAGCTATGGGGCAGCCCCACGCCGCCCCAGCCCTTCCCCAGGCAGGGAGAGCCCACGGCTCCCACCATGCCACACCCTGCGCCCCAAGGCTGTGGTGGCCAGGCAGTGGGGTGCTAGGGACACCCCCTGACCCCCCCCAGGGGTGCAGGACTGGGTTCAGCCACCTCTGGGCCAGAGCCGTTCCCTGTGCAGACCTTCCTCACCCTCATGGGGTTTCACTGAGTTTGGTTGTTAATTGCCCTCACTCAGCTCCGTCCAGCCCAGGGCTGTCCTCCTGCGCTCCCCCGCCAGGTTCCTCCCAATCCAGATACACTCTCCACTGCGCTACGTCTGCACCTGCCACTTCTTCGTGTGTGGAGAGAAACCACAAATAAACACAGGCCTGGCACAAACCCAGCCTCTCCGTGGGACGTTTGAGGGGCACTGGCCATGGGTGCTGAGGGAGGGGGTGCTCAGAGAGGGGGTTCGGCCCCCCTGCGGGAGAAGGTGAATCTGCTGAGCTTGCCCAGACCTTAAATCCCTGTTTGTTCCGCCTGTGGCTTTTCTAAAAGGTCGGGATTGGGGACGGGACAGGGATGGGGACCCGGGCGTGTTCCCGCTGATGACCGCAGTGAGCAGGGGGTGTCACAGCAGGGGCTGGGGGAGGCTGGAGGGCAGCACTGGGG